GGAGGGAGGGAGGGAGGGAGGGAGGGAGGGAGGGAGGGAGGGAGGGAGGGAGGGAGGGAGGGAGGGAGATTCACATTTACCTGCAAGTAATCAGGGGGACGTGTTGGTAGGAATGCAGGCAGGCAGAGTAGTGAAAGGAAGAGAAAAGAAAGGTTGTGGAACGATTGAACAGGAGAAGTGGGGCAAAGCTTCGAAATCCTGTCATTGACTGTCTGGATTCAGGGCATAGAGCATGTAAATGATGCTATCCACTTGAATAGAAGATATTTAAGGGGTCAGGAAATGAGGCAAGTCCAATTTTACGACGAAGATGAGGAGTACGGCCTTCCGGAGGGAGAGGTGAAACAAGCTTGGCTCGTTACCTCGCAGCGTGCAGCAAAAGCCAAGCCAACAGATGAGATCCCTCTCGACGATCTGCACCACCTGCGTAAGACCACCGTTGCGATCCAGTCGGCAAAGACGAGAATCGATCGAGAGGAACCGAGGACAGCATCGAGATGGCGAGGGAGGAACTTCTTCACAATAGCTCGCAAACATGCTGAGAGAGAAGTCTTGAGCACAGCCAAGCAAAACCTGAGGATCGCGAAGAAGCGAGCTCAAACTTCCTTCACCTTGTCGGAGAGAAAGAAGAATGAGCAGGACTACGTGACTCACCCGAGCCTGCTGCAGCGGAGGCTGGGGAGGTCAGCCACCAAGGAGATTCAAGAGTGGAGGCCGCGGGAAGGGAAGGTGGGGTTGACCATTCGAGAGATCCATGACACGTCCACCTGGAGCCTGAAGCCGCCATGGGTGAAGAGAATTTCTCAGGACAAGCTGCTCCGCAGGGGAGCAGTGCGGCCGGAAAAGGCGACCGTGCCAGCCATGAAGTTTGGGAACAAGGACGTGTCCAAGGTAGTGAGATCAGAGAAACTGTGGGTGCATGACTCTCGTCCTTCTCTTCCCTCCCTCCTCTCTTCCTGCAGGTGTTTGGCGCGGACCTGGATCTTGATCTCAGCCTGGGCCTCGAAGCTACACCTCGTGGAGTGCTGCTGGGGGTGAAGGGGGTGAAGAGAGATGACCTGATGACCAGCGGTCCGTCCCAAGTGCTCTCCTATCCTGCTCCTCGTGTTTTCACACGCACACCCTCCTTTGATCCCGTTCATCTGCCCTCCTTCATTCCTCCGCCCTGCTTCATTTCAATTCAGTTCATTTCAAGATTCCTCCCACGATTGACGATAACACTTTAGGACACACGATCCCCCACTCGGTGATGGTGAGAAGCAGAGAAAATGCGCATCGACCAAGCAGGTAAACACGACTTCACACTGTTCGTGGCGATGAAGCTTTCTCTGCAAGAAACCGGACGTCTTTCAGGGCGAGGAGGGCGAGGAGCTTGTCTCCTTTCTCAGTGAAGAAGAAAATGGCAGCAGGGCGGAGCCGATCGATTTCTCCGACCTCGTCCAAGAGTGCGGACGAGCGCAGGAGGCAAACATTGACAGTCATCAAAGAGAAAATCCTGGACACGATCGTTTCCTTTGACCTCTGGAGCGAGGAAGGAGTTCTGATGGCAATGGAGGATGCACTCCTTGCCCATCCGCAGGTATGCCCTGCCGAGCTTGTCCCTCCCAACCATTCTGACGCATCCATGGCTGCAGGTCGAGCATAGTGTCCTCCTGGAGGAACTACGGCAGCTGGGACGCGAGCTGGGTGTGGATACAGGAAGGCTGGAGCAAGTCAACGATGACCAGTCGAGCACGGGGATCCATGTGGATGTCAAGAGATCTTTGAAGAGCAACAAGAGTGCTTTCGAGTCATCCTCGTCCTCATCAGACTCAGACACAGACGAGGTAACGATATTCTCCCTTTCCTCTCATTCGTTTTGGTGCTTCTGCTTTTCCCCAGCTCCGATCCCTCTCCTCCCTCACAACTTTTGCCACAGTCTGATCAGGAGAGTCAAGGAGGAGTGTGGTCTCGCTTCCGTTCCCGGTGCTTGCTTGCTTTGACATTTCATCGACGTGACATTGAGCGAACCTCTGTAGAGCACTGAAGATTTCGACGGAGGAGGAAGACGTCGAGGGCGAAGTTGAGGAGGAGGTGACTCGAGCCTGTGTTGTCCTGTGCAGTGATCATGGTGGATAGGAGATTGTGCTGGGTGATAGCTCGCAGCTGTCGCTGGATGAAAAAGTGAGGTCGGTAGCAAGGGGTCTGAAGGAGAAAAAGGTTCACTTCTTCGACGAGCGAGCAGACCAGGTTGTGTGGAGATGGTTTGATCCTGCAAACACGTGTGATGATGAATCTTGTGCTTGTACAGGAGGAGGAGGAGGAGGAGGAGGAGGAGGAGGAGGAGGCTCCTGGAGTCCGAATGCAGCTCCTAGCCTTCACTGATGAATTTCTCCTCTCGGTAGCTACACGAGATCGCAAATTTGAGCATATCATCGGTAAGAACGCACTAGATCTTTGCGGAAGGAAATGAAGAAGGGTGCAGGAAACAATGTGACTGAGTTGAAGGAGTGGGACGATATGGAGGACGAGGAGAGAATGAGGCTCTGCATCTCCGACCTGGAGGAGCTGAGTCAGAGGAGAAGGGTCGAGCAATTCTCCCGTCTCTTCCAGTACGCGTCTGCCATCCGAAGGATCTACGGCTCTGTGGTGAAGCAGGAGGAGACTTGGGGGCCCTGGGGACCGGAGTGGTTGGGGGTTGTGGATGAGCACAGCTGCAGTGCGATCGGGCAAGAGTGGAGGGGGATGGAACTGGACGAAAGGATGCGGGTGAGATCCTGAAGTTCACGCTAAGTAGCACAGCGCTGAGTTCGTCCTGCAGTGCTGCATGTCAGGGTTGAGGAGCAGGACGTGCGTGGAATGGGCGATCAGCGAACATGATGAAAGGGTTGCGAACGCGATCGACGGTGGGATTGCTCGGGCTCACTGATATGTTTCCTGACGGCAACGTACCTGCAGCCAGCATGCTCGTCGAAGACAAAGAGGAAGAGATGGAGGCGTCGAATCGGAGAGAGCTCAAGTGGTTCGGGGATGCGCAGAGAGACAGGGACAAGGTTTCGGAGGGGGAGGAGGAGGAAGAGAGGAGTTTGAGCTGATGTGCACGGTGTCAGGAGGCGGAGAGGATACAGCGTGTGAAGGCATTTGCTACGGGGAAGGAACTTGAGGCTCGGGCGGGGAAGGTAGATGGCTAGTCTCCAGCTCCTCATCTCAGTCTTCCCGACAGGCGATGAAGTGGTATAGGAGGAAGAAGCAGGAGCTGATTGAGATGATCCGCGATCATGAGAAGGTCGTACCGCTCTCTCTCTCTCTGTGCCTGTCCCGGTTCACATTCGCCATGCAGAAAATGCCCAGAGACGTCGGGCAGACGTTGACCCTCCGTCCTGGAAAGAATGGTGAGAAGGCGGTGCAGGGCGCGTGGGGAGGATAAGGAAATGGCAGGCGGGCATATTAATCAGGTGCTGGCTCGGCAGAACGTTCAGTTCCGTCCCAATCCCTTCACGTACTCGGTACGCTCAATCTGAAAGATTGTGAACGAGATCTCTGTCTCTGCTTCTTCTTATCCTTTCCTGTCTCCCGCCTCCTCCTCGGCTCACTACATGCTCTATATTCTCGCCTGACTCACCCGTTCATCTACTTCCTTATCTTGTTCTGCTTCAGGATCCTGGAATCGCGTGGAAGTTTCAAGTTCAGCAAGATAGAATTGTCAAACAGGAACTCCATGTCTATGACGGGCAACAACGGTTTGACTCGCACTGCAGAGGAACTTGGTTCGAAGAGCATTACAAATAGCAAAGCAGCTCAAGGTAATTCATCATCGGATGCCCATTCTTCGATACCTCTTTGTTCATTGACGATCGCATCCACTATCCTCTTGGAAGTTTGTCAGACTGCACAGATCGCAGTCTTCACTGTCTACATGACTCAGTTCTTTTATTCTCACACAGAATTTCTTCACAGGCGGATGCTCTCTCTCTCCAAAAAGGACTTCCCTCCAGCACCGTGGTCTCCTTCGACCCTCAACCCTCATCTCCCTTACATATCACAGGTGGAGCTCCCGGGAACAGATCGGAAGGCAATCAGGCTGATGAAACAGGTGCGTATTCTGTTGCATCCCCTTGCTCGTCTGATGTTTTGGAGCAGAGAGTGGAGAAGGACGAATCGCTTAGTCTTCCGGTGTCATCATTGTCCTCCCCTTCTTCCTCCTTCTCCTCTCCTTCCTCGTCCTCGTTCTCGTCTCCTTCCTCCCCATCCTGCTCCTCCTTCTCTTTTTCTTCCTCCAACTGCGATCTCCACATCTTGGTCGGCTCACAGTGAATCAGCTGCGGGAGTTGAGCCAAGAGATTCAACAGCGAAGTGACCAGGCAGAAAGGGTGAGACTTTCTTGGAATTCTTGACGCCCATAGACCCCTTTGCCTTCTTTACCTCCTTTACCTCCTTTACTTCCTTTACCTCAACCTTCTCCTCCTCCGCCTCCTCAACCTCCTCCTCCTCAACCTCCTCTTTTGACTTTGCCTGCTCTGTCCTACAGAAGCAGCTGGTGAAGAAGAAGCCCGATCGTAAGGGGATGGACAGAAGCGAGAGGCTTTGTGAGTCTCGTTCTGCTGCTGCCTAGCAATGCTCTTACGTGCACTCAGACCTCGACAGCTTCGTCCACACCGCAAACTGGAAGACTCCAGCTGGGGGAAGTCACTTCCGCAACGGAGGTTCAGAGAGGAGAGAAGGTTGCACGTGCGGTGACAGGCCTCAGACTCTGCGTACAAGCTGTGGAACAAGCCGACTGGACATCCGGCACCTTCGCTGCATGGCGGGGTGAACGGGGCATCCCGTGCTCCCGCAGACAAGGCACGGCAGCCCTTTCCTCTTGGATCCTCCATGACTCTGTGGGTTCCCACAGGCAATGCATGAAAGTATCCTTGCTTCAAACCTTCGGATCAAAGCGAGGCAACAGCAGCAGGTGACGGGAGCTGTTGTTCTACATGAGTTCAGCTGGAGGCTTGTTGAGATCTCACGTTGAGCACTGCAGATACCTGGCGATTACGAGATCATTGTCTTGAGAATTCTGGGATTCCCAGAAGGTCTTTTTGCTCCTCCTCGCCCTGCCCCTCCTCCTCCCCCTCTCCCTGCCCCTCTTCCTCCACCTCTCCCTGCCCCTCCTCCTCCCCCTCTCCCTGCTCTCCAATGTGACCAATAGTCGTCAGGCTCGAAGAAGAAACTCTTCAAACACTTCAGCAAGAGCATCGGCAATCACAAGGTTTGATGCCAGCAGTATTGCTCCTTCTCCTCCCTCTCCTCTCCTTCTCCTCTTCTCCTCTTCCTCCTCTTCCTCCTCCTCATCTACCCGCCCTCCCCCTCCCCTCCTCCGCCTCTCACGCTGCTCTCAAGGCGCTCAGTGCAGCATGGCTCAAGTTCAGTTTCAAGAGATACGGTGTGGGCGTTCATGTGCCTAATTGGCGCTTCTCTCCTTTGACCTCCTTCTAGGTGCTGTGCACCTCAGCGTCCCGAGGGATACGGCCGGAGGATGGGTGATGAATGAGGTGAGTTCGTCCTGTGAACCTCGTAGACAACATCGGTGGTAGTGGTGATGATGATGGTGATGAGGAGGAGGGGGGGCAGGAGGAAGAACGGGGAGGGGGTAGGGAGGAAGAGGAAGATAAGGAGGAGCAGGAGCAGGAGCAGGAATCTGCGTTGATGGTGGTTGTGCAGGGCATATGTGTGTCGTTCATCACTAAGGTCTCTCTTTTTCGCTCCTGCTCCTGCCGTCTTCACGTGACAAGCTGCGCAGGAGGATGCGCTGAAGGCGGTCAATGCGCTGCAGGTCCAGCAGCTTTGCCCAAGATGTTCACCCGACCATGATGCTGATGGTGCAGGAGGGAGAAACGCACGTGCTACCTGAGATCAGCAACTTCGACTTGGTACAGCCCCATTCCCAACCTTTGACTTCTCCTTTTATCTTCTTGCTTGCTCCTCCCGTCCATGGCGCGATCCTCGTCTGCTCGTTCGCTCCTCTAGCCCTAGCCCTTCCTTCTCGTCCCCTCCCCTCCCATCCTTCCCTCCTTCCACTCCTCTACCTCCCGCTCCTCCTCATTCTCTTCTCCCATTCCTCCTCCTCACTTCCTCCTCCTCCCCACCTCCCCACCCCCCCCCCCTTCCTCCTCTTCCTCTATCCTCGTCCTCCTCTCTTCCTCCTCTTCCTCTATCCTCGCCCTCCTCTTCCTCTATCCTCGCCCTCCTCTTCCTCGTTCGCTTCCCTTCATTCCTCGCCTCATCTCTGCTGCAGGAGCTCGAGCTCCGATCTGGCCAGGAGGGCGATGCTCAACATCAACTGCCAGCCTAACAATTTCAGGTGTTCTCCTTCAAATATTCCTGTAAACTTTGAAAATCATATTTACTGTAAATTTATATTAAATCCGAGTCGAGGGAAGGGGCGCATCGCAGAAACGCGAGCAGAAGCGGAGCAGAGGAGGACGAGGACGAGGACGAGGACGAGGAGCAGGACGAGGAGCAGAACGAGGACGAGGACGAGGAGAAGGACGAGGACGAGGAGGAGGACGAGGAGGAGGAGGAGGGAAGTGGGTGCTTGAGCAGATCTGCTGGCAAACTTGACCGAAAGACACCATTGCTTCCTCTGCTCCTTTCCTGATCGTCGTCCTGGCCATGACCGCGCAATGTTCATCGCTGAAAATCGATCTTCCGCAGCTGGATAGCTTGAGTCCCGTGTATGATATCCAGTGCAAACTCATGGAGGATCTCAAGCTGGGTAGCAGCTACAGCGTGAGCGAGGGCGACATGGTTCATCCTGGGCTGATGGACGCTCTTCGTGTGCGGATGCTGAGCCAGCAGGAAGCATATTTCTTTCAGGGAGAGGAGAGGGAAGGCAAGGAAGCGGTAGGTTCTCAGCGACTGGGAGAGTTGAATCCGCAGAACGAGAGATCCAGTCTCGAGCTCCTGAAGAAGCTGCTGAGAGGTCTGAAGCTCTCCTGCCTCTCTCCCATTCACTCACTCAGCTGTTTCCTCCCCTTGTTCAGATCAACACGGACACAATGGTGGTCTGGTTGAAAGCGCATGGAAGGTTGTAGAGAAGGCATGCTCTTCCTTCTGCAGCAAGTCTCAGTGCTCGTCTCCCATGCAGTCCATGGAAGATGAAGAAACAGCGAAGTACATCGAATGGCTGAGAGAGCACGTGAGTGCGTTATGTTCACATTCAACTCAACTGACAAGTTTCGCGCTTCTGCAACCTTGCAGGATATCAGTGACTGTGTTGGGTTGGGATACTTCCAACACAAATCGTCGAGCGCAAAGGAAAAGGAGTCGATGGAGCGAGGAGTCCTGGCGCTCCGAGACATCAGAGCAGGTAGTTTGATGCGACTGAGGCAGCAGTGGAGAAATGTCCATTTTCATGATGTTGAACTTTCAGATGAGGTTGTCTACAGCATTCCTGTCGATCACTTGCTGTGCGTCGATACAGCACTCAAGTCAGATATCGGTAGGATGATGGTTTGCGTCGGCGGTTCCTTGAAAGCTCCTGTGCCCAGGGCCAACCTTCTTGGAAATTCGAGCAAAGATGAAAGAGGTGAGGTGTGAAGAAGATCGGAAGAAGAATTGACTCGTGCTGTTGGCAGAGGTGGCTGGAGAGGAAGGAAAAGAAAGCTACACAGCAAGCTGAACAGAAGGCGGGACAGGAAGAGGGGGATCAAGAGGAGGGGGAGGAGGAGGAGGAGGAGGAGGAGGAGGAGGAGGAGGAGGAGGACGAGCTTCATGATGATACTATTTCGATGCTGTTCCTTATCCATGAGATGAAGACCAAACGAGAGACATCCAGGTGGAAAACTTATTTCGACTTCCTCCCAGGCAAGTTTGAGACGGGAATCTGCTTCGAGGAGGAGGAAGGCGGTGGGCTGAACCTCGACGAGGAGCTGGCAGGAACTGGTTTCGTGCAGAAACGATGGAAGGAACGAGAGGTGGTAGAGCATACCTACAACATGCTTTTCCCTTGGTTAACAGAGGAATTTCCGCAAGTGTTCGATCGGGAGCACTTCGACTTCCAGTCCTTCATGTGGGCCAGAGGCGTTTTCGACACTCGTTGCGTCACGGTCAAGTTTCCTGCAGAGAAGACGGGCAAGGTCGGTGTCGACAACAACGGTGAAGGCGAGAAGGGCACGCGTGACGTGACATGCCTCGTCCCTTGGGCTGACATGTGCAATCACCACCCGTATGCTCAGCTCAACAAACCAAGTCTTGACCCTACAAGGAAGTTCCTTCAATTCTGCACGATGGCGCCGATCAAACAGGTAAAGGATCCTTCCCGATTTCTTCCCTGCTCCTCCCGCTGAGCTGCCTCCTCCTCCTCCTCCTCCTCCCCCTCCTCCTCCTCCTCCTCCTCCCTCCTCCTCCTCAATTCCCTTCCTTTCTCTCGCCCTCTCCCTCTCTTCTCTCCTCATCCCCTTCCTGCAGGGCAGCCAGGTCTTCCTCAACTATGGCCCTCTCGACAACACCCAGCTTCTCCTCTACTACGGGTACGCGGAGCAAGACAATCCTTACCAGACGTACGCGATAGAGCTCGAGCTCCCGGACGATGAACTTCGCCTCATGAAGCAGCTCATGCTAGTTCACTACCGATTTCACGACAGCCATCATCTGCGGGACCGGGGAGAGATCCCAGCTGCCCTCCTCGCCGCCCTCCGCATCTGCCTCATGGACAAGGAGGACATGGATAGGGGGGCGAGGGAGGGAGAGGCTAACCCGCTCGAAGGACGGATATCGAAGAGGAATGAGGAGGACGTACTGCGAACTCTGGAAGATACAGTGAGCTACGTTCTTGGTACGCTCCCTGAGGAGGAGGAGGAGGAGTTAAGGGGAGGAGAAGCAGCAGCAGCAGCAGCTCGCTTTTCTTGCAAGGAATCATCGCGTACAGGCAAGGGCTGAAGAAAATCCTGCTGTACAACCAAGAGAAGATTAAGAGTTTGCGCGCTGCGTGTGAGGAGGAGGAGGATGAGGAGGGAGGAGAGGAGGGAGGAGAGGAGGGCGGAGGAGACGCAGAAGCAATGGGGGGAGGAGAGGAGGGGGGAGGGCCAGCTTCGAAGAAGATGAGGAAAGAGTGAGGGAGCTTGGAGGAGGAGGGAGCGGCAGTGAAGGGCCCAGCCGGGGGGAGGGGGGGGGGAGTGGAAAAGAATGAGGTGAAATGAGGGGGAAGCATCAAGAAAAGAGAATTGATTTGATATGGTAACAAAAGACAGGACACAATCGCTTCCTCCTCCTCCTCCTTCCTGCATCGGCTCTCATACTCCTACTCCTACTCCTCCTCTCCTTCTTCATTGTTCCTTTGCCTCAGTTCTTCTTCTTCTTCTTCGGCGGTTCTTGACTTGCTGCTTCCTCCTCCTTTTCTTTGCTAACAGCCGAAAAGCCTCCGTATACCTGCGCTGTTCGTGAGAGGAGGAAGAGGAGAGGGAGAGAGAAAGGAGTGGGGGTGGGGAAGAGGAGGAAGAGAAGGGAGAGAGAGAGACAGACGGAGAGAGGGAGAGGGAGGGAGGGAGGGAGGGAGGGAGGGAGGGAGAACAGAAGCAAGAACGACAGAGTGAGGATTAAAGAAGAGTGTGGAGGGGGAAGGGAGGGAGTTGTGGGGGAATACCTCGAGAAGCTCGAGCTGCAGGTTCGTGCGATGCATCCTGCTTGTTGAGACAGAGATCCGAATCTGAGGACACCAAGAGGAGACGAGAGGGTAGAAGGACGAGGACGAGGACGAGGACGAGGACGAGGACGAGGACGAGGACGAGGAAGAGGACGAGGAAGTTGAGGAGGAAGAGGAGGAAGAGGAGGAAAAGGAAGTAAGAACCAGAACTCCCTCCAGCTCGTGCCCACCTTGACGCGGTCAAGGACGCGGATGCTTCTGGAGGGGGAGGAGAGGCACATGCCGTCGGCGTCGAGCTTGTACTGGGAGCTTCCCTTCTCCTCGAGGATGACAGGAGACTCGAGACCGTACCTGCAGCAGGTGGGGCGTAAGATGGCGGGAGAGAGGGAGAGGAGGAGGGAGAGGGAGAGGAGGAAGAGGAGGGAGAGGAGGAGGAAGAGGGAGAGGAAGAAGAGGGGGGAGAGGACGAAGAGGACGAAGAGGACGAAGAGGACGAGGTAGAATAATGTTGAGAGGAGATGAAGGAAGGAGGAAGGAAGAGGAAGAAGAGAACAAGGAGGACAAGGAGAGAACGTACTTTGGGATCAGGACAACAATTCCATTCTTTCTCAATCTCATGACATAGGCCTCTTCCTCCACCACCTGCAGTAGATCTCAGACACGACCTCCTCCCGACCTGCTTCCCCTCCCCCTGCTTGCTGCTGCTGCTGCTGCTTCTGCTGCTGTCCCTTCTCTTCCCTCCCTGCTCCACCTCCTCTTCGGCTTCCTCCTCTTCCTCGTCCTCCTCCCTCCTCTTCCTCTTCCTCTTCCTCTTCCTCTTCCTCTTCCTCTTCCTCTTCCTCTTCCTCCTCACCTTGTTCTTGAAGAAAACATGAGCATGGAGCTCGGTTGAAGCTCGTCCAGCAAACTGAGACAACATGTGAGGGGAGGCACAGGAAGCAGCAATAGAAAGAGCGAGAGGAAGAGGAAGAGGAGGAAACGAATAAAGGGCAAGAATAGGAGCAGGGGCACCAACAGCACCAGCACAAGAGGAGGAGCAGGAGGAGGAGCAGGAGGAGGAG